ATGTTCTAGGGTTTCAGGATTGTTGATTCTCTGTTTGGCTTAGTTTTTCGGATCTTTGTTGTGGAGGGACGGCGTTGTGTTTCTGCCTAGAGCGCCATCTTGCCGGAAGTCGTCGTGTGTTTTTTGACTTTGCTTTTATAGTGTTCTTTAGTTTTTTGGGTTGTGGTATTTTAAACAAATGAAGACAGTAACTTGAATTTGTACCTTTTTATCTTTTTGCGTAGGAACCTGGCTTCTATATCTGCCGTGTACCTGGAGCATCAGCTTGGCAGCTGAACCAGGTTGTTTTCCAGACTGGTATATGTTATCCCTCTTTGGTACTGGAGCTGTTCTCATGCGTGGAGCAGGCTGTACTATAAATGACATATGGGACCGCGACTATGATAAAAAGGTAATTCCTTCTTGGAAAGGAACAGAGGTGCCTCTCAATTCTGCACAGTAACATAGTGGCATCACTTTTAGATACCAGATAAAGCAACAAGATTTTTGAGTGTCCTCACTGAAATCCAACATAGGAAATGCCGGTAACAGTTGAATAGCTGGTATTGCAAGTGCAACCTACCTGCTTTCTTAACACAAGAGCAGCCATGGGGCAAAATGTATACTTCATTTCCACTAAGTGAATTAAGAATTTGGAGGGCCAGGGGTAAGGACGTTAGGAGTGAAGTTGAAAAATCCATCCTCAACCTTTGAGTGTCCAAAAGAACCGCCACCCCTTCCTTTGAGATGTATCTTGGAGCCATAACTCTTCTTCTGTAAAGCTGTTCTTAATTTAAAGTGAACCAAGGCAGCCTTATTAGCATTTAGTATGATTGTTTCTTTTAAATATATAATTGTATTCTTTTTTTCTCCTTAAAAAAGTAATATAGCTTATTTTGAAAAATTCAGACAGTACAGAAAGGCAAAAAATAGAAAGTGAAAGTCCCTTTTATCCCTTCCTCCAAGCCTTTAAAAAAAAAAAAAAAACTTCAGTTAACAATTTGATGCATTATATTCCTCTAGATTATTATCTGAACGTTTTCTGATACATGTGTAAAATTATTCCTTTGTTCCTGTCTCAGTTATCTAGTGCTGCTATAACAGAAATACCATAAGTGGATGGCTTTAACAAACAGAAGTTTATTCTCTTACAGTCTAGGAGGCTAGAAGTCCGAAGTCAGGATGCCCACGCCAGGGGAATGCTTTCTCATTGTCGGTTCTGGGAAAAGGTCCTTGTCATCAGTCTTCCCCTAGTCTAGGAGCTTCTCAGTGCAGGGACCTCAAGTCCAAAGGATGCCCTCCACTCCCGGTGCTTCTTTCTTGGTGGTATGAGGTCCATCTCTCTGCTTAGTTCTCTCTTTTATATCTCATAAGAGATTGATTCAAGATACAACCTAATCCTGTAGATTGAGTCCTGCCTCATTAATGTAACTGCCTTTAATCCTAGCTCATTAACATCATAGAGGTTAGGATTTACAACACATAGAATAATCATGTCAGATTACAAAATGGTAAACAACCACACAATAGTGGGAATCATGGCCTAGCCAAGTTGATAAACACATTTTTAGGGGATACAATTCAATCCATAACAATACCTCACAGATGGTTATTTTTCAAGGGAAGATATGATCTTCTTTTCCTTTTATCCTAGTACCAGTGCCATAACAAATACAGGATCATGAAATCCTTGAGTAAATAATTAAGTGAACTTCCAATTTAAGAGAAATCCATGTTGAACTCTTACAGAAAGTGAATAGTCATCTCCAGTTTGCCTTCCATATAAGTCTGAAATTTCTTTAAACAAGGTCTACCTGCAGTAGCTTTTAGTTTATAGAACCAAACCAAAACCCATTGCCGTTGAGTCAGTTCTGACTTATAGCAACCCTATAGAACAGAGTAGAACTGCCCCATGGGGTTTCCAAGGAGTAGCTGGTGGATTCATACTGCTGACCTTTTGGTTAGCAGCGATAACTCTTAACCACTGCGCCATCAAGGCTCCAGTTTATAAAACAGAGTCACATTAATATATTTTTTAATTCAAAAAACATTTATTGAGCACTTGCTATGTGTGAGACACAGTGACAGGTTCTAGGATTGTATGGATTAAAAGTGGTATCCCTGATTCACAGTTTAGAATTATAATACGGTGGCAGTATCATGGGAATGGTGTCCACAAGGAGCTGTGGGAACTTACTGAAGACCACCTACCTCAGCCTAAGGGAGGGCTCAGAGAAAACTTCCCAGAAGAGGACACCTTTGGAACTGTGTCAGAGTAAGATGACACAAAATGAGTGGACTGGAGGATGCAGGTCGTTCTAGGCGAAGGGAGCAGCAGATACAGAGACATGGCTATGAGATAAAATATACTATGTTTGGCAGCTGCCTGATACCACAGAAAAAAAAACTCTGACCTCACTCAAACCAACAGAGGCCAAGGGGGGAGCCTAGACTTCCAGCTTTATCAGACTATAACAAGGTGTTCAGCCTCTGCTGGGATGATATCAGAGAAGGCTGAGTCAGGAGCTGTGACTTTCATCCCCACCTGGCAGTAAGGAGTTCCCCCTTTTCTGCAGTGTCAGTAGAGACCACATGAGGAACCTAAACTTCCACTCTCACTTGGCAGTAACTAGGCTTCTCTCTCACTTCCCCCAGGATGATGTCAGGAGGCCTAGTGAAGAGGCAGGACTTTACTAGCAGTAACAAGTCTCCCTGTACCCCATGGTATCAGTGGAAGCTATATAGGAAGTACTAAAAGAGCACTCTACCCCTACATACCAGGGAGGTATCAGTGGAGACCTAGTAGGGAGCCAGAACTCCCAGCCCCAATCAGCAGAAATGGAGAACCCCTCAACTCAGGCAGGTGTCAGTGGGAACTAGGTGGGGGACTTGGACTTCTACACCACCTGGCATAATGAGGTGGCACCCTCCTTTCCCTGCTGGTCAAGAAAAGCCAGCTAAACAGAAGGTTTAAATAGCATCCAGAATCTCATGACATAGTACCCAGAATGTTCAGGTTTCAATCAGAATAACTTATCATACCAAGAACCAGGAAAATCTCAACTTGAATGAAAAAGACAATTAATAGATGCCTACACTGAGATGACAGAGATGTTAGAATTACCTAACAAAGATTTTAAAGCAGCCATCGTAAATATGTAATTATGAACGTCCTAGAAACAAATGAAAAAATGTCAGGTCCCCGCAAAGAAATAGAAAGTCTCAGCAAAGAAATAGAAGATGTAAAGAAGAACCAAATGGAATTTTTAGAACTGAAAAATACAGTAACCACAATAAAATATTGAGTAGATGGGTTCAACAGCATAATGGAGGGGACAGAAGAAAGAATCAGTGAGCTGGGAAATAGAACGATAAATTATCCAATCGGAAAAATCACATGGTCATATCAATTAGTGTTAAAAAAAAAAAAAATTTGGCAAAATTCAGCACCCATTCATGATAAAAAGTTCCAGAAAGAATAGGAATAGAAGGGAACTTCCTCAATTTGATGAAGAGCATCGACAAAAAACCTACAACTAACATTATACTTAAATGTAAAAGACTGAATGCTTTCTTCCTAAATTGAGAAGCAAGGCAAGGATGTCTGCTTTCATCACTCCCAGTCAGCATAGTGCTGGAAGTTCTAGCCAGTGCAATAATGTGAAAAAAGGCATATGGATTGAAAAAGAAGAAATACAGTTGTTCCAATTTGCAGATGACTTGATTGTGTATATAGAAAATCCCAGGGAATCTACTAAAACTGATAAATGAGTTCAGCAAGGTTGTAGAATACAAGATAAACATGCAAAAATAAATTGTATTTTTATATTTTAGTGATGAACATGTGGACATCAAAATTAAACGTACAGTACCATTTGCAATTGCTCAAAAAATAGGTATAAATCTAACAAAACATACAGGACTTACATGATGAAAACTAAAAAACATTGATGAGAGAAATCAAAGGTTTAGTAAGTGGAAAGACATACCAGGTTCAAGGATTGGAAGACTCAACATAGTAAAAATGTCACTTCTACCCAAATTGATAAACAGATTTAATGCAATTCCTGTCAGAACCCTAGTGAAATTTCTTGTACATAAGATTATTCTAAAATTTATCTATAATATCTAAAACAGTTTTGAAAAAGGACATTAAAGTGGGAAGAATCCGTCTGATTTCAAGGTTTGTTGTATAGCTGCAGTAATCAAGACTGTATGGTATTTGTGGAGGGATAGACATATATATCAGTGGAACAGAATAGAAAACCCAGAAGTAAACTCATAAATGTGCTGAACTGGTTTTTGGCAAAGGTACAAATTCAGTTCAATGGAGGAGAGAGATAAGATAGCCTTTCAACAAATGGTGCTAGAGCAAGTGAACATCTATAAGCCCAAAAAAAGGACCTCAACTTAAGTTTTACATACAAGAATTAACTCAAAGTGGATCATGAACTTAAATGTAAAATTTAAAACTAAAATTTTTAGGGGGAAAAAAAAAAAGGAAAAATCTTGGGATCTAGAACTGGACAAAGAGTTCTTAGACTTGACACCAAAAACACATTAATAAAAGGGAAAAATTGATATATTGGACTTCATTAGAAGTAAAATGTTTGATCTGTGAAAAACCATGGAAGAGGATAAAAAGGCAAGCTACAGATTAGGAGTAAATATTTGCAAACTATATCCAACAAAGACCTAGCATCTAGAATACACAAAGAACTTTCAAAACTCTACAGTAAAAAAAAAAAAAAAAAAAATCAAATTAGAAAATGGCGAAAAGAGACGAAGAGACATTTCACTGAAGAAGATATAAGCAAATAAGCACGTGAAGGATGTTCAAGATCCATAGTCTTTAGGGAAATGCAAATTAAAACCACAGTGGAGTGTTGCCACACACCTATCAGAATGGCTAAAATAAAGTATAGTGACAACACAATGTTGGCAATGATGCAGAGAAACTGGGCCACTCATATATTGCCAGTGAGAATGTAAAATGGTACAACCACTCTGCAAATGTTGGCAGTTTTTTAAAAGACTAAACGCAACTACTGTAAGACCCAGCAGTTGTACTTCTGGGCATTTATCCTAGAGAAATTCAAACCTGTACACAAATCTTTACAGCAGTTTTGTTTGTAATAGCCCCAAGCTAGAAACAGCACAGGTGTCCTTCAACGAGGGAACGGTTAATGTATGGTACATCCATGGAAAACAACTCAGCAATAAAAAGGAATGAACTGTTGATATATACAACAACCTAGGTGAACCTCCAGAGCACTATGCTGAGAGAAAAAAACCAATCTGAACAGGTTGCATACCGTATGATTCCATTTATGTAGTGTTCTTGAAATGACAAAATTAGAGAACAGATTAGTTGCCAGAAGTTAAGGAGGACATGGAGACAAGAGGTCAGCAGATGTGGCTATAAGAGGACAACATGAGTGATCCCTGTAGTGATGGAAGTGCTCTGTATCTTGACCATCAGTGTGATAATTGTACCATAGTTTTACAAGATGTTACCATTGAGGGAAACTGGATACATGGTATCTCTGTATTCTTAAAGCTGCACGTAAATCTATAATTATCTCAAATTAAAAAGTTTAATTTAAAAAAACTAATTACACATCTTAAATAGATCAGTATTATGTGAATATAATATATTCAACCCAACCAGTTTCTTCCTTTTTTTTTTTTAATTAACAAAGTGTGACCCTTTTAGTTCCCCGTTAAGTGATTCTTTTCTCCTTTGATAAAGAGAAACATATTAGATATCTTACATCTCCCTCATACAGCTTTTTCCTGATCAGTGGAGTTCAGATGCTTTGTTGACATACAGAAAGGACTAAATGAATTATAGCTATTGAAGTAGCCAGATATCATTTAAGGCATGTTTATGGCTCAGGGTTTTGCTTAATACATTATATGATAAATAAATTGCTGGTACATTAAATGGTAAGTGAATTGCTATTAGGGTATTGGATTGTGTGTTTTATTGATGTTGCATATGATCTACTAGCCATGCATTGTGTCTACAGCATTAAATAATCAACACACAGGTATGGATGATTTGGTTTTATAAGCTGTGAGCGTTCTGGTTCCATGGAATGTATTTTGATCATCATGTTACATCATTTTTAGTCTTGACTTGTTTATCTTCACCTTTCAAATTTAACTAGATAATCAACATTGTACTGCAGGGGTAGTGTAATCTTTTGGTTAGTGGTGTGGCCAGTGGCTGGACTGACTGCTAACGCTTAGCATCTGTGACTTTGGAAAGTTACGAGCCTCTCGGTTCCTCAATTTCATAAAAGTTAGACATGGCGAGAATTTTTGAATGGTTGACAAACAGGGTGGTTATGAGGATTCAGTGATACGTATGTGTATAGCTCTTGGAATAGTGGCACCTTGTAAACAATAAATACTAGCTGGAATAATGACAGTATTGTGAAACAAATAAACGAACATGTTATTTCAAGTTTGAAACTACAGGAATCAAATCAGGAAGAAAAGTTCCAGTTCTGGCACTTTAACCAGGATATGAGTCATTACTCAAAGTTTTTGACAAACCATCTTATTGTATATGGTATAAATCAGACTCAGACTACTAGACTCGTTGCCGTTGAGTTGATTTCAACCCATAGTGACCCTATAGGACAGAGTAGAACTGCCCCATAGGATTTCCAAGGAGCGGCTGGTGGATTCGAACTGCCGACCTTTTGGTTAGCAGCTGTAGCTCTTAACCACTGTGCCAATTTCTGTAAAGGATCAGATATTGAATATTTTAGGCTTTCTGAGCAAAATGGTCTCTGCTACGTGAAAAGCAGCCATAGATGATACGTAAACAAGTGGGTATGGCTGTGTTTCAATAAAATTTATTTACAGACAACGAAGTTTGAATTTCATAATATTTTTATGTGTCACAATAACGTTGCTCTTTTTTTAAATTTGTTTTCAACCATTTAAAAATATAAAAACCATTCTTCACTCATGGGCTATACAAAAACAGGCAGCAGACTGGATTTGGCCCACTGACCCCTGATACAAATCATACAAAAATTTGTTTAATTAATAATAGATAACATTTACTGCATACTTGTATGCCTCAGACACTGTGTTTACCCTACGAGATAGGTGCTATTATTCTCTCTCTCTCTTTTCTTTATCAGGTAAGTAACTTAATGCTGAGAGAGCCTAAGTAGTTAGCCCAAATTCATACGGTCAGTAGTGGTGGAGTTAAATTCAAATGCTGGACTCTTTCATCCCAGATCCTGAATCCTTAACTTAAAGAAACAAACCTTTTGCCATCCAGTTGGCTTCGACTTTTGGCAGCCTCGTGTGCAGAGTAGAAATGTGCTTCATAGGGTTCACAAGGCTGTGACCTTTCAGAAGATTGCCAGACGTTTCTTCAGGGCACCTCTGGGTAGGTTCAGATCACCAACCTTTCACTTAGCAGTTGAGTGCTTAACTGTATGCACCACGCAGGGACTTCTAACAATGTTGAAATTTTGGGTTATGTTCTTTGAGTTTAAGATACTCATATTTCATCATCAGTTGGAAGGAAAAGGACAGTGTATATTATTTGTCTACATAACAGCTGTGTCTATTTGCATTCATACGATGAGTTTGCCCTTTGTATTTGAGTGTAGATTTGAATCAATGTAAGATTACAGAACCATTCCTAAATAGCCTGGCAAGAGCACTCCTGCTTACAGACCCGGATTATCTGTCGACTCTTTCTTTCTGCACATCTGATTTCTGATTGCAGTGCTTCCTGTGCTCAAAGCATTCATGTGATATCAGCCCTATCCAACATCACTGCTATTTCCTCTTTCCATGTTTCCTGAGAATTCTCATTATTACAGTCCCACCTTTCTCTACGGAAACTGAATGTATACTTGCTAAGCTGGGTAGCGAGATACTAGATAAGGAAGATGCTTTGTTTTGTTTGAAGATGAAAATAAAGGGGAATGATAAGAATTTGGGGTTTTTTCAAAGCTGTGTTAAGTCTGAAATTTTTATTCTTGGTGGTACTTCAAATGTTGATTTCAACTTTTATTCATATTTGCATCCTTTGTGCCTACCAGTCTCTTGATTAAATGTTTAACTAATGATTGAGCCGTTACATGAGAGTAAGGTTTCTGTTTTTATGCATTAAGGTTTCAAGGACAGCAAATCGCCCAATAGCTGCTGGAGACATTTCAACTTTTCAGTCCTTTGTTTTTCTCGGCGGACAGCTAACCTTGGCCCTGGGTGTTCTTCTGTGTCTGAATTACTACAGGTATATTAAATGTGTTTTTCATAATCATGTAAAAAAAATCTCCTTTGAATTGGAGGAAATAGGAATAAAATAAAATTGAAATATCTTTATCACAGAGGTCTTTATTGGGTACATACTGAGCATCTATAAGCTAGCACATAAGAATAAGTCAACACACATTGCAAAATCTGCTTCAAGAATGCTTTCAACCAAAAGAGTTAAGAGATCAGAATTTAATTTATTCTGAACCACCTTCAGTGTCTGCACTACATGGTCCCTAAGAGACAAAAAGTGCTTTTACAGATTTTCTAAGTAGATGTAGTGTGTGTGTGTGTGTGTGTGTGTGTGTGTACCCATGTGTATACGTATAATTTTATTTATGCTGATAGTATTTCTGAAGTAGTAGAAACGTTTTGTACTCATTTTGCAACAAGAGGAACTGTGTGTTTCCCAGGGTCATGCTGCTAATCAGTGACAGAAGAAAAAAGTAGGAGGACTAATTCCTATATTTCATTAACAGAGACAAAATTAAACTTTTGTGCAACAGATGGCTGCTTACAAAATGCTTTGGTGAGAAAGAAAAGGACCAAAAATGAGGGGGAGGGTGGTTTCAACAGATGAGAGTTACTTTGTAGAGACTAGACCCAGTTGCATGCCTTTCCCTGACAGCATCAGTGACACAAAAACAGGTTGGAATGTGATCTCAGATGACTTTTGAAGTACGTTAAGAGCATCTTATTTATCATCTTTTCACAGATGCTTTGTGACCTCATCTTTTTCTAGAGAAATAACACCCAGTCATACATACAGGGAGGGATATCTTGAGGTCAGGAGCCCTGGTGGCACAGTGGTTAAGCATTCAGCTGCTAACCAAAAGGTCAGTGGTTCTAACCCACCAGCTCTGTGGGAGAAAATACCTGGCGATCTACTCCTGTAAAGACTCCAAACCAAACCGGCTGCCATTGAGTAGATTCCAACTCATAGGGACCCAACAGGACAGAGTAGAACGGCCCCATAGGGTTTCCAGGGAGCGCCTGGTGGATTCAAACTGCTGACCTTTTGGTTAGCAGCTGCAGCTCTTAACTGCTATGCATCTGAAACCCTACGGGGCTGTTCTCCTCTGTCCTATAGGGTCCCTGTGAGTTGAGATTGACTTGATGGCACACGACAATCTTGATGTCAGGAGGTGTTGAAGATTCCGTGGTAGATTTTTCCTCTTCTGTGTGGAATCCTGGTTCCATTCCTGGCCAGTGTGCCTTATGTATAGCCACCACCTGTCTGTGGAAGCCTGCCTGTTGTTATGAGCTTCCAGAGTAAGAGGGACTAGGATATAAGGCCTGGTGATCTACTTCGGAAAATCAGTGAAAACCTTATGGATCAGCAACTGATTGTGAGAGTGATGCTGGACCAGGCAGCGTTTTGTTCAGTTGTGCATGGGGTTGCCATGAGCCGGGGATCAACTTGACAGCAGCTGACAACAACTTGATTCTGATTCTGTAGTAAGACTCCTCAGTTTACTAGATGCCTTAATGTCTGAAAACAATTTAGAGAGACCAGTAGCATATAGTGTTAATAGGATGGACTCTGGAGTCAGACTGCCTTACGTTTGAGTCCTGGTTCTGCTACTGACTAGCTATATGGCAATTGGCAAAATACTTAGTTTCTTTGTTCTTTACTTTTCTCCTCTGTAAAATGAGAATAAAACTACCTACCTGGTAGGTTTTTCCTGAAGATTAAAATGAGTTAACGTGCAAAGTACTTAGAAGAGTGCCTAATACGTGAAAGCACTATATGTGTTAGCTATTATTATTTTGTTTGGTTTTGTTGTAACACTTAAAATATTTTCTAATCTTTTATAATAGAAAAAGTAAAAGTCTAGGAAGAGAATTTTACATTACAAAAATATAATTGAAGATAAAAAAAATCATTTTCTGATTAGTATTTCGGTGTTTGTTGTCTTATTTAGTAATTCTAAGAGATGGTGACATTAACCTTTTTTTTTTTTTAATATTTTATTGTGTTTTTGGTGAAAGTTTACACAGCAAGATATGTTCCCATTTGACTATTTTCACATAAATTGTGTCATTAGTTACATTTTTTACAGGGTGTCAGCATTCTCTTTGTGTTCTGGTTGTTACATTTCCAGTGCTCTAGCTTCCCTGCCACCTTATCTCATCTTGACATTAATCGTTTTAATGTTTTTTTCTGTTTTCAGTATAGCTCTGGGAGCAGCATCCCTACTTCTTGTCATTACCTACCCGCTAATGAAAAGAATTACATACTGGCCTCAACTAGCCTTGGGTAAGCTTGAAATAACTATTTCCTTTGATACTGTCAAACTATACTTTTTTTTTTTTTAAATGTGGCAGAGTTAAAATGTCAAGTCAGTCATGAAATTTTCCAAGCCAAGAACAGATTTTCATATATTTTTTTTTTAATTTTTTTTTATCGTACCTTAGGTGAAGGTTTACAGAACAAATAGTTTCTCATTACACAGTACACACGTTGTTGTGACATTGGTTAACAACCACACAACGTGTCAATACTCGCCCTCCTCGACCTTCGAGGACCTTTTCTCTTTTTTGGTGAAAATATACATAGCCAAAGATACACCATTTCAAAAATTCCTACATGTACAATTCAGTGACATTGATAACATTCTTCCAGTTGTGCTGCTATTCTTACTGTCCTTTTCCAAATTATTCCATTTCCATTATCTTCAACTCATTGCCCCCTAGGCTTGCCATCAAACCTTTTGAGTCACTGTTGTCAATTTGATCTCACATAGATAATTCTTTTTTCTTGTACCTTAGATGAAGGTTTACAGAACAGAATAGTTTCTCATTAAACCGTTAGTACACATACTGCCCTATGACAATGGTTAACAACCCCACAACATGTCAACACTGTCCTTTCTCAAGCTTGGGTTCCCTATCACGAGCTTTCCTGTCCCCTCCTGCCTTCCAGTCCTTGTCTCTGGACTGCTGTGCCTCATTAGTCCCGTTTTGTTTCATGGTGCTGTCTAATCCCCGACTGAAAAGATTTTCATATTTTAAAGGAGGGCAATTAGCTGTTTTTATTGGCCAAGAAATCTTGCATATTTATTAAGGTTATTATCATCATTTTCTGAAATACTCTAGGTATGTCATGAAAAACAAAATTAGCAGCCTTCACCCTACCCATTTCTTCAGGTGGTTGATCTGGGTGCCAGAGCCCCAGAATTTGGGGTTGGGGTAGGAAGCACTCTAAAGCGGGAGAAGAAGTGTTAAAAGTATGTATGATAGCTCAGACAACTCTTTGTGGAAGACTTTTTGAAGTCTTCTTTAATCCTCCCAGGAAAAAGTTAGCCAGCCTCTCCTCTGGGTTCCCTTAGCACTCTAATGTGCCGCTCACTCATTCAGCGACGTTAATTTAACAAGAGTATATTGAAAGCCCCCTGTATCTCCCCATCAACAAATAGCAAATTGTAAATGCCTCAAAGATAAGACATTCTTTACCTTTGGACCAGCATCAAGCATAATACTTGGCATATTACAGGTACTCAATAAATATTTGTTGGTCGAAAGAAAGGAAGATAAGTAGTAGGTAAGATAAAATCAATTGCAAAAATATCTACTCCCAGACTTCTCTTTTCTCTCCATTCTTAGTTCATGAGGTGGATAAAAGTGGAACCAAAAGGCATTACAAGAAATTGTGCAAGGCTGACTTAGGGAGAGTTGTGGTAAAATATTTATCTTTTTCTAAAAAAAGTTATATTCTCAACTGACCTGCAAATCTTTTGGTGAAAAAAACTGGAGCACTTCCTATCTGCTTAAGAAAACTGCTGAATTTCCTTCAAACACTTACTGAACTGCTTTGTGCCCAAAACAGCATCAGGTACTGGAAAAATAGAAATAACTAAGATACATTCCCTGTCTTTACGTAGCTAGAGAAGGAAGCAAGAGAGAAACAGGTAATTGCAGTACACTATGGCATGCCCAAGTGCTGTGGAACCACAAAGGAGAGACAATCAGTTGAGGACCCTCCTGAGCAGAGCTAGGCCATATACCCAGAAAACCAAACCTGTTGTTGTCAAGTCGATTCCAACTCATAGCAGCCCTGTAGGACAGAGTAGAACTGCCCCGTAGGGTTTCCAAGGAGCAGCTGGTGGATTTGAACTGCCGACCTTTGGGTTAGTAGCCGAGATCCTAACCACTGTGCCACCAGGGCTCTGTAGGCAATATAGGAGGAGAAAAAGAGTTCCTGAGAGAAGACATTTGGAAACATTGAGTTTAAGGTAACTGAGGGACTAACAGGTAGAGATGTCTAGCAGGTAGTTCAGTGTCTAGTCCGAAGCTTAGGGAAGTGATGAGGCTTGCAAAGAGAGATTGAGGAGTTGTCAACATGTAGTTATAGTCCTCAGAGGGTGCGCTTGTAAAGTATACAAGAGTTCCTAGCTATACTTCATTGTTTCTTTAACTTACAGGGGAGGGAGAGTGGTAGTAGACAGAACACAGATTTTTGAGTCAGAGAGATCTAAGTTCCAACTCCATAATCTGCTGTTTATTGTCACTGCCAGGTATCATACTAGGATAAATGTTGTTCTCATTAAATCTGTTTACTTTATATCCAAAAAAAAAAAAAAACCCAAACCTATTGCCGTCAAGTCTATTCGGACTCATACCGACCCTATAGGGCAGAGTAGAACTGCCCCATTGTGTTTCCAAGGCGATAATCTGTATGGGAGCAAACTGCCACATCTTTCTCCTGCGATTTACTTTATAAGGGAGATATTATTCCTTCTATTAGCTATGTTATTGTTATCATTCACTAACCTCTGTAAGCTGGTTTCCTTAAAATGGAGCTAATAACTACCACAGATTGTTGAGAGGGTTTGCTGAGGAAACATAGATAGAAAACAGCACACACAGAGCCTTATACGTAGCAAGCACGTAACACATGCTGATGCCCCTCTCCTTCCCTTTGGAACCCTTAAGTACATTTAGACTTATTCCCCTCTTTGTATTTTACTAATTGTAGGGTTGACTTTTAATTGGGGAGCATTACTTGGATGGTCTGCTATCAAAGGCTCCTGTGATCCGTCTGTTTGCCTGCCACTTTATTTTTCTGGAATTATGTGGACGCTAATATATGATACTATCTATGCCCATCAGGTAAAGAAATGATTTATCTTTTTCTTAACTTTCATTTAGTTGTTGTTTAAGAACTTAAGAGCCAGATTAAAGGGAAAGTTTGTTTTGTTTTTTTTTATGAAAAGAAAATCATTCACAACTTCACGGCTCAACAAAATATTTTTGTTTTGTGTTTATATGTATCATAGAGTTAATTTATTTTATTTTATTTATAAGCATTTAAATTTTTTTTCTATATGCCAGGCACTGTTTTAAATACTTTACAAACACCAACTTAATCCTCATAATAACCTGTGAGGAAGGTACTAGGTACTATTATTGTCCCCATTTTACAGATGAGGAAACATACACAGAGAAGTAACTTGTCTGTGTCACACAGCTCGTAAGTGGCAGAGCTGATATTCAAACTCAGACAGTCTCTAGAGTCTGTGCTTTTAACCACCATGCTCCACTGGCTCTCTATTTATGCTTTGTTGTTTTTTTTTTACTAAGTATTAGCTAACAAACATTTTCCCACGTTTTTACGAATTCTTTGTAATTGTCACTTAAAGACTGCATAACAGCGCGTTGAGTTGATACACCATAGCATTTTTTTATTTCTTTAACCATTTGCCTATTTTGGCCATTTTTTAAGCTGTTTCTGAATTTTCACAGTAAGAAATAATATTATACTAATCACTAATTTCTTTATGAGTGTTTAGGATTAACATTCAAGAATAGTATTACAAAGTTAAAGGGTATAAACATTTATACCTTTTGATACCGCTTTTTTTTATAAGTTTAATAAAAAGAAACTATCTGTTTTTACTCTTATGTTCTTAATTTCATTTTACATTTATGAACTTTTCAAAGAATGGTTTTTCTCAGTATTTTTCTGAAATACAACTAGTATGTATTTTATTCTCCATCATTTATTTAAAGAATATGTCATGATGACTTTAAGTTTTTTCTAATATTTCAATCTAGATTTCATGCTAATTTCTTCTGTTACCCCCTCACACACACACTGCACTTGTGTCTTCATGAAAAAGTTCACCATATCTGTAGTCAGCCTGTTTCCCAAAGTAAACCTGACCGGCAGTAAACCTGATTTGATTAGCTTCTTCAGTAAAACGCCACATACTCTGACACTTTTGTGGTTCACATAATTAAAGACACAGTTTGCACTGAAGGAGCTTGCTGGATGAAAGGAAAAACAGATATGCTAACCCCACAGATCATTATTATTTGGATTTGGATATCTTGTATCTCAAGTTGCAATAATTATGGAACCTAAAAAAGCCTGTCAGATAGGCTGTCTGCCTGCAAGTTGTGTTGTCACACGACCACATTTACAACAGTGTATGCAAATGCTTAGAAATTAAGCTATTGGAGGAGACCAGTGAGTTCGGTAGGAGTGTTTCATCAAGACCTACTTCTGCTTAAGCAGAAAAGATTTGATGGGAGAAGTAAGGAATAAGTTGGGCTATAAGTGAAATGTTGAATTGATGTGGTTAGGGGGCAATTCAGCATTTTTCTATGCCTGTGATTTTAGAAGATTTAAAGTAAAATGTACAGGAAATTATTGAGATATGAAAACTGAGGTAGAGAGGCCGTCTATGAGGAATTAGAGTTGAGTTTTGATCCTAATATAATACAAGTACAGCTGAGTGTCATTATAGGGTTATAAGAAATACAGTGACATGTAACAATAGAACTAGAAGATGATTTCAGCAGTAACATTTGACTTTGATTTGGCCTGCACATTCATTACTGACTGACCTGTGTCTCTGAGTTACTGTCATCTTTCACAGCTGATGGAGTATCCACATGTCCTTTAAAAGACAGTGTCTTATTGCTTTCTGATACTAGGACAAAAAAGATGATGCACTCATTGGTCTCAAGTCAACAGCGCTGAGGTTTAGTGAAAACACCAAGCAGTGGCTCAGTGGCTTCAGCCTGGCAATGCTGGGGGCGCTGGGCCTGGTGGGAGTGAACTGTGACCAGACAGCGCCCTACTACGCTGCCCTGGCTGCCGTGGGAGCGCATCTGACTCACCAGGTGGGACGTTGTTCTTATTTTTTCTCTCACTTTTTTCTTAGTATAAATTAGAAAAATCATTTCATTTAAATGTCCTCTGTGTTTATCAAGCAAGATACTTCTAAAGACAAAAAACTACTTTGCTTGTACTGCCCTAAACCGCCCCTTCCCCTGCCCCAGTTGTCATATAAAAAAGCTAGCTGTATTATTTTAGAGAAATAAACCTAAGCCTGATGTTTTTCCCTAAGAATATTCTCCAGTTTTCCTGGAATTACTTCTGATGCATATCTGGAAAAATTTCAGCAATGTCCAAAGGTGATTGGTTGAATTGAATTACTCTAAAGGCAAGCTGATTAGCAAAACTGTGTTTAAAAAATCTGGGCTTCTGGTGATGGTAAACAAACTAATTATTCATGGGCTTGGGTCCCACTGACATAGAAACCAGGGCCACCAGAAAGAACATGAGATGTTAACATATCAGGGTTCCGCCTAGACAGCAAGCAACTGTCAAGACAGGCCATTCACCCAGCACCCCATCCCCCACCCCCTGCAAGCTTATATGGAGCATTTATATTATTGATTCTTTTATAAAATGAATGAAGTAAATCTCATTTTAATTAGATTGCTAGAAAATGGACTGTATTTTTGCATCTATGTTATTATTTTCATTGAACAGAATCCGAAAGATTGTAGTGAACTTGTATTTAGATCATCTATTTTATACAGATTATTGCAAGTCACATTTCAGTACAGGCAAGACTTCCACAACGTGGTATGAAGGAAACTGAAATCTGATGTCCTCAAAATAAACCACATGCTGTATCACCTTCATTGTTTTCCTCTCTGGGAAGGCTAAAGATATGAACTGGGGTTTCTCCGCGATTCTCCAGGATTTCACCGTTTCCCTCTTCAGAATTTCTAAGTACACCCTTTTAGTTGTAACTCAGCTCCATGAAGGGTTTAGTGTTTTGTGATACAGAATTGTCAGTTGATTGTCGCTCAGAATGATGGATGGAATCCTTGGGTGGCACAAACGGTTAAGCCCTTGACTGCTAACTGAAAGGTTGGCTATTCGAACCCACCCAGAGGCGCCTCGGAAGAAATACATGATGGTTTGCTTTTGAAAGGTCACAGCGTTGAAAACCCTGTGGAGCACAGTTCTACTCTGGAGCACATGGGGTCACCATGAGTAAGAATCAACTCGATGGTAGCTTTATTTGTTTTTGTTTTTTTTTTTAGCGACATTTAAGTACTTGGATATTGGACAGCAGAGCAAGGCAAAATCTATAAGGACAATCACAAATATTATAAGAAATATTTGGAATGTACTTTATATTTTAAACTTCATTTGTGGTCCTCTGTCCATTCTTTAATGCAACATTTTATGATGGACATAGCCTCATAGTATTTGAAGAGTAAGGAAATCATGATAATTTTAAGTTTACAGACCACATAATAGAAGATAGTTGGGAAAACGAGGGATGCTTAATCCTAGAATAGAGCAAGACAGGCACACGAGACTTTTTTTGGTATATTTGCAGGGCTGCCATGGGGAATGAGGAGTGTTTCTTCTCAGTCGCTAGTGGTGATTTTCACCACCCCCACCTTTCTGTATGTGGTAGGGGGAGGAGCTGGACATATAGGAGGCATTTTGGTTCTCATGGTAAACTGGAGAGGAGGCTCTCCAGACCCTGAGTGGGCGAAGGTCAGACATATTAAATGTCTTTCAGTGCACCAGACAGCCCTGCACAGTAGGGAGTTGTCCTCCTGTGGGAAACATTGTTCCAGCGAATAAACCTAGACCCACTGGGTAGGAGTTGCAGAGAACAAGATTTTCGATCAGCCAGGGTAAGGAAGAGTTTTCTAAATAGTTAGGGTAAAAATAGCCTGGATTAGCTCTCAAAGCATTCGTACATCCTTCAGCTGAAGTTTTTAGGACACAGCTTAGAATAATATCCAGTGAGAGATGTAGATTTTTCTACATTGGGAAACAGTTTGTACTATATTAAAGGACTTCCCATTGCTTAAAATTCTATAACAAGATGCTGTTTTCTCTCTTATCTGTATTGTGTTCATTTGTGTTACCAGAAAAGTTATTTCCATTGTGTGCCATCCTAGATACTAATGAAGCATTATGTTCTTCTCTTACAGATTTACACCCTAGATATCCACAGACCTGAGGATTGTTGGGATAAATTTGTCTCCAACCGAACAATAGGGCTGATACTGTTTTTAGGGATTGTCCTTGGAAATCTGCGGAAAGAAAAGAAAACAGAAGAAACCAAGAAAAAATATAGGTAGTAGATTAGAAAATTAGCAAATGAAGTTCAATCTAGGATTTTTCTTAAAACAAATTTTTACCAAACACTTACAGGTATTTTTTCTACCTAATTACATTTGAACCAACAGTCCGGTACAATATGTTAAATAATTAAGAACCAGGAGATGAAGATTTGTTTTCCTGGGTTTTAGTTCAGCTATTTGCTAGCAAAATTCTTCCCCTGTCTCAGAAACCAGGGGCTCTTTGAGGTTTTGAGGTAACCTTGAGGGTTTAAGTTGATTCATTCTTCTGCTCATTATAATTCTCAGGTGAAGTGATGAGAATTGTATGAGTTTTGGCACATTAAAAAACATGCATATTTCATCTAAATTAATGTACCTATAGGAAAATGGACTCTTTTTTAAGGGAAAAATAAAAGTTGCTATAGGAAGTTGGGGCTTATTGTCCTTTGTTGTGACCTCTACTCATTGCCCAAAACTTCTAATTCAGGAAATCGTTCTGTTTTTCATGTTTTATGATAATTTAAGTTCCCTAGGTGGTGCAAATGGTTTTCCCTAAAGGTTGGTTGGTCAGACCCACCCAAAGTATTGTGATATAATTGCCACAACGTATCAATGATCACGAAGATGGCACAGGACCAGACGTTTTGTTCTGTTATACGTAAGGTCACCATGAATTGGAGCTGTCTCGATGACAACTAAGAACAGTAAGAACATTGGCTATATAGGCTTTTATCATATATACTGTAATTAATCATTATTGAGCACTTCGGTTTTTTACATGTTCTTCCTCACAACAGTAGTGCTATGAGTAGATCCACGTATTTGGATACATCTCTGATTATTTCCGTAGGATGAATTCCTAGAAGTGGAATGTCTTGTGTGCACATTTCCAGGGATAGTAGGGTTGGGGTGGAGTTGGGTGTGGTGCTGTGCCCATTTTTAAGGTTTTGTATACATTTTCTCATGTTACTGTGCAGAAAGTTTCCATGTCTATGTTCCTACCAGCAACGTAGGAGTGCCTCTTTCCTCAGACCCTCCGCTACCCTAAGACGTATATTTGTTTTAAATCCTTGCCAATTACATGGGCAAGAATAATACGTTGTTCCACTTATATTTCTGTGATTACTAGCATAGTTGACTTTTTCAAAATGTTTATAGGACATTTTTATTTCTTTTGTTAATTGCTTGCATGTTTTTGCCCATTTAGTTATTGTTGATGTATGCTGCCTGGTTGATCATATCCCCAAGATCTGATATCTGATATATTTAGACTGTGTTCTCATTTTAAAAGCTGTAATTATGTTATTAATAGTTACGGGACTTCAATTTTTGTGGCTTACACAGAACTAGCTCTTCCATGGGGAAGGTGACATGTTTAACATCTTTGTAGTTGTTCTCATTAATGTGTGCCATTCATTTAGTCAGTCATCAAGTATTTGTTGAGCATCTTCTGTTTCCCAGGCATGGGCTAGTTGCTGTAGACACAGAAAAGAATTAGTTCCTGTCTTCAGAAAGCTCAGAATCTAATACATAGAGCTGATCTATGCCGTCCAATACAGTAGTCACTAGCCATACGAGGCTATTGAGCACTTGAAATGTGACTAGTCTAAACTGAGATGTCCTGTAAGTATAAAACACCCCAGATTCCAAAGACTTAGTGTGAAAAAAAGAATGCAAAACAGTATATCAAGTTAAATACAATATGTTATTAAAATTAATTTCCCTTTTTTTTACCTTTCTAATATGGCTACTAGAAAATTAAAAATTATATCTGTGGCTCACATATTTTTATCGAACAGTACCAATATATAATAATGTACTATATGAGATTGTCAGTATTCAAAAGGTTTGACCTACAAAGAAGACAATCTCATATGGTTCAACTGAATAATAAGATTTTCTATATTTGTACATGTCAATGATACATTAATGAGATTATTTCTAAATGCTTTAAGGAAATAAGCAGATGGTTGGAAAAATCAGTAATCCTAGCTTATTATTAAATTACTTCCTGTTTTCTCTCCCTTTCTTGTTTTTCTTCCTAAATCACTCACAAATCAATTTAAGTGTCCACAGTGTGGCTGGCCTCTTCAGTGTTAACAATTCTTCAGTATTACACAAATTCGGGCCTAATCTAGTTTATATAGAGCTTTTTTACATACACAGTTCCTGTGGGATAATGTTAGATAAGAGGAAATAACAATAAGCTAGCAAACATGAAGAAATGTGCAAATTCACTAGAAAACAAAGATGAAATAACTGAAAATTAAAACTATCAGGTGAGTTTTCTGCCTGTTACATTGGCCAAAAAAAAAAAAAAAAGTTTTAAAATGATAATACCCAATGGTGATAAGGATATGGTAAAATTGGTTGTTCTTCTCTTGCTGTTGGCAGTAAGGTTAGTACAGAACTTTTGGAAAGCAATTTGGCAATATGTAATCAAAGCGATAAAACTATTTATAAATTAAAATGTGAAAGAGGAAGGTAAATTCTTGAAGACAAACCACACTGAAATTGGTTTGCAAACAGGAAGGCTATGGTCATGAGCTGCAAGCTGGTGATAGCATGGAATATACAAGCGCTGGCTCTGGAGTCAGATTCCGATGTGAATTCCTGCCGAGTGACCTCAGCCAAGTTACGTAAACTCAGAGTTTTAGTGCCCTTTTCTGTTAAACATAGGGAATAATTGTTAGGTGTTGTCAAGTCAGTTCCAACTCATAGTAACCCTGTGTACAACAAAACAAAACACTGCCAGGTCCTGCACCATTCTCACAATTGTTACTATGTTTGAGCCCATCATTGTAGCCACTGTGTCAATCCATCTCATTGAGGCTCTTCTTTTTCGCTGACCAGCTTTGCCAAGCATGTTGTCCTTTTCCAGGGACTGATCTCTCCTGATAATAGGGAATAATACTTAATTTTGTTGGTATGAGGCAAAACTGAGCACATGTTAAATTTCCTGGCACATGTTAAAACCTAAAAAAAGATGTTAGTTCCAGCTGCCTCCTTTTCCATGAGACCAGAAGAACTGGATGGTGTCAGGCTCCCATTACTGAACATTTTGATCAAAGAATCCATAGAAGAATCCTGATCAAAAAGGAGGGAATATAGAACAGAATTTCAAATTCCCATGGACTCCAGGCTTTCTGGAACCATGGAGGGTGGATGAACCCCTGAGACTGTTGCCCTGAGATAATCTTTAAACCTTAAACAAAAAAATACTCCCCAAAGTTATCTTAAAACCAAATAATAGTTTAGCTTAACTAGTAAAAAAAAGGTCTGCCTTGAGCATTATAGTCTTTTAAAAACTGTGTATATGGGATCCAATTGGTAACAGCAATTTGAAAGATTAGACAGAAGCCTTAGGGAGCAGTGAGTTTATGTTAATGAGGGAGGAACAACTCAGAAAAGGAGGGTGAAAATGGTTGCACAACTCGAAGAATGTAATCAGTGTCACTAAATTGTACCTGTAGAAACTGTTGATTGATGTATGTTTTGCTGTATACGCAACAACAACATAATAAAATGTAGGGAAAAAATTTTTTTAAGAAAAAAAAAGATGTTCCTTTCACCCCTTACTCCCTTTGAAAAGAATCAGCCAAAATGTGCTATGAGAAAAAATTGAAATTGAACAGTATACCAGTGCTTTTAATGTTCATGCTACCAATAATATTATCTTTCCAGCTGGATACTCTCATGAACAAGTTGAGAGATAGATGATGATAGACGGACAGACGGACGGACGAGTGGATTGTCAGGCCAGTAGATACACATATTCATTTACTCCTCCTCATCCACTGACATTTTAATCAGGAAGTGGGAAAAACTCCCTAGCATGCCTTCCCTTCTCAGTATTGAGCCAGAATCATAAGAGCATAGCAGGGTGCATAGCCCATCATGAGTAGGCAGTAATTATTTGTTGGATGAAAAAATGTAACATTTACAGCTAGAGACAACCTAGTCCAGTGAATTTCCCTGGCTTTTGTTAGATAGGCAACAAAAATACTTTTTTTCAAATAAAATCTTACATAAAGTCCCAATATGTAAATACAGATGACAGCAGAGATGCTTTCCTATAACCTGCATGAGGATGCCTGGACCCTCTCTTCTGAGGGAGGGCCCCCCTTTCTTTTCTAGGGAGCCTCTGCTGAGCTCTAGGGAGCCTTTGTTGTCGTCGAGTCAATTCCAACTCCTGGTAATCCCACGTATAACAGAATGAAATGTTCCCTGGCCCTGTACCGTCTTCATGATTATTGGTATGTTTGAGTCCATTGTTGGAGCCATTGTGTCAGTCCATGTCATTGAGGATTTTCCTTGCCTTCACTGGCTCTCCATTCTACCAAATATGATGTCCTTCTCCAGCCATCAGTCTCAGACAATATTCTGTGAAGTCTCAGACAATATTCTGTGATCCACAGGGTTTTCATTGGCGATTTTTAGAAATAGATTACAAGGTCTTTCTTACTAGTCTGTCTTAGTCTGGGAGCTCCACTGACATCTGTCCACCATGGGTGATTCTGTTGCTATGTGAAACACTGGGGGTGTAGCTTCCAGTATCATAGCAACATGCAAGCCACCACAGTAAACAAATTGACAAATGGGTGGTGGCTGGGAGCCTTAGGAGTGACAAAGAACCCAATTTGAAAACCAGTTCATCTATCTATACCCCTGATTTTACAGATAAGAGAACTAAAGTCCAGGGAAATAATTTACTCATAATCAGAACAAGTTAACAACCAGGTGGGAACTGAGATAAGGATGAATGAACCTTTGTGTCTATACAGTTAATAACTGTATGACTTAGGGAAGACTATTTAAACTTCTCCAGCTTCAGTTTTATGGTATCTAACATGGGGACTAAAATAATATTTACTTCATGGTGGTGCTATAAGAATTGCATGAGACAATGGTCTCATCCAGTCTTGTGACTTTACAAGTTATCTGTACATTGATAACTCCCAAATGCCTCTGAACTTCGCAGAGTTGAATAGTGAACTACCTATTTGATACTTCTACCTGAATGCCAAGTAGGCACCTCCAACTTCAGTGTTCAAAACTGAACTCCTGCTCTTCGCCCTCAGACTTCGTCTTTCCATCCTCCTTTCCAACTCAGTAATGTAACTCCCTTCACTCTTCCAGTTCTCTGGCTAAAACCTTGGAGTCATCCATGACTCCTCTCTTTTTCTCACATTCCATGTCAAAGACATTAGGAAAGCCTCCTGCATACACCTTCAAAATATGTCCAGAATCCAGTCTTTTCTTAACACCTCCACTTGCACTACTCTCGTCCAAGTTACCATCCTCTCTCCTCTGAATGAGTGCAGTTGTTTCCTAGTTGGTCTCCCTCCTTCTGCCCTTGCCCCTTTTCAGTCTGTTCTCACCACAGGAGCCAGGGTGATCCTGTTAAAACATGCTGTTGGTGGTGGTGGTGCCTACAAGTCGATTCTGACTCGTAGTGATTCCATGTGACAGAGTAGAACTGCCCCATAAGGTTTTCTTGGCTGTAATTTTTACAGAAGCAGTTGGCCAGGTGTTGCTTTCATGAAGCTTCTGGGTGGGTTTGTTAAGTCAGTGTATATCATTCCTTTGTTAGAACATCCCCCAAATCCAGTTACTGTCAAGTCGATTTTGACTCATAGTGACCCCATGTGTGTCAGAGCAAAACTGGGCTCCATAGGATTTCTAATGGCTAATTTTTCAGATGTAGGTTGCCAGGACTTTCTTCTGAGCCACCTCTGGGTGGACTGAAACCTCCAACCTTTCAATTAGCAGCTAAGCATGTTAATTGTTAGTACCACCACAGAGACTGTAAAACCTCCCAAAGGCTCTCAACTGTTCTCAGAGTAAAGCCAAAGTTCTTAGCATGGTATACAGGCCCTGTCTGATCTGGCTGCCTGTTACCTCCTGACTCTTCTTCCACTCTCTCCCCTGCTAACACTGCTCCAGCCATCCTGGCCCCATTGTGCTTCCTGGAACCCTTCTCTCAAACCCTTCACTCTGCTCAAATCTTACCATCACGGTGAAACTTTCTTTGTCACATACACCTGTAGACAAACTTCCTTTTCTTTTTCCTTGCTTTATTTTTCTCCACAGTAAAACACCTATCATTTGTTTTACTTATTTTCTCTATTGGCAGTCCTCACCAACTAGAATCTAAGCTCCAGGAGGGCACAGATGATTTCTGTTTTGATTGATATTGTATCTCCAATGCCTGGAATAGTGCCTAACACGGAGTAAGCATTCAGTAAAAATTTGTTGAATGAATCATGAATGTAAAGCTTTTAACAACGTACTATGTGCCTAACAAATACTGTAGTCATTATTTGCAGGCATTTCCAGCATTCTTTTTTCCTCTCCAAAATCTCTGTCTTTACAGAAGCCATCTGTCTTAGTTATCTGGTGCTGCTATGACAGAAATACCACAAGTGGATGGCTTTAACAAAGAGAAATTTATTTCCTCACAGTTAAAGTAGGCTAAAAGTC